GCGTCTTCCTTGGCTTCCCCCCTGACGCGCCTGGTTGGCAGTTTTACCACCCCACCTCCCAGGACGTCACCTTCAACGAGTCGGTGCCTTACTACCATCTCTTCCCCTACCGCACTGCGCCCCTCCCCCCGCCGCCGCTCTTCCTTGCGCCAGGTCCTCCCCCGGTAGACCCCCTCCCCCCTCAGGGTCCTGCCCCGTCAGGTGTGTCCCAGGTAGACGCAGTAGAGACTGTCGAGGTAGCTGTTGACTCTGGTGCTGCTAGAGGTGCTGAGCCTGCAGGTGCCGGGTCAGGAGGTGCTAAGCCTGGGGGTGCGGAGCCTGGGGGTGCTGAGTCCAGGGGTGCGGAGCCTGGGGGTGATGAGCCTTGGGGTGGTGAGCCTGGGGGTGCTGAGCCTGGGGGTGCTGAGCCTGGGGGTGCTGAGCCTGGGGGTGCTGAGCCTTGCGGTGCTGAGTGTGGGGGTGCTGAGTGTGGGGGTGCTGAGCCTGGGGGTGTTGAGCCTGGGGGTGCGGAGCCTCGGGGTGCTGGGTCTGCTCGTGTGGCCTCTCGCGGTGCTTCGTTGAGGCGGGAACTACTCTCTCCGCAGGAGCTGCGCTAGTGGTTTGCCCGGCGCTGGAGCCGTGCTGCTGGAGCTGGAGGTACTAATGTTGTTGCTGGTCCCGGAGGTGCTCGTACTGGCGGTACTGGAGCTGCTGGAACTAGGGGTGCTGTTGGGGCTGCTGGAGTTGCAGGCGGTACTGGAGCTGCCGGTCCTGCGGGGGTTGGTGCTGCTGGAGCTGCTGGAGCTGGAGCTGCTGGGGGTGTTGGCGCTGGTGGTTCTACTGGCGCTAGTGCGTCTGAGGGTGCTGGAGTTGGCGCTGTTGGAGCTGGAGGTGCTACTGGCGCTGGTGCTGCCGCTGGGGGTACTGGTGCTGTCCCTACAAAATCTAGAGGTGCTGCGCGGCCGAGGCCGTACTTCGTTCCGCTCCTTGAGCAGGTTCTTGGTCTCCCGCCCTCAGCCTGTCCAGTTGCAGTCACAGTTACAGCCCGCCTCCCCCCTACCTGCTCCTTCTCCCTACACTGGTCCTACTGGAGGTCTTGCTGAGTGTCGTGAGCCTGCGTCTCGTCCTGCGTCGCCTGTTCGTGCTGCTCGCACTAGTCGTCGTGCTCCGCATCCGCGTCCTCCTGCGGTCCCAGGCCCACACCAGATGGCACTGCGTCCTTCCACTGCTCCTCTCCGTGTCCTGTTGCCGTCTCCTCCAGAGTCCTCTCTTCCTGTTCTTGCTGACCCGGAGTCTGACTCTCTTCGTGCTGCCAGTCCTACTGTCACGCGTCTCCTGGCTACTGTTGTCACTGACCCTTCCTTTGAGTCCACTGCTGCATCGGCCCTAGTTGCTGAGCTTGTCAACTTTGCTGCTCCCTGTCGTCTGGACTTCGCTTCTAGTCTTGTTGCTGAGTCTGAGTCTGTTTGTCCTCCATCCGTCGGGGGTGAGTGTGCTCTTAGCACGGACGTCCTTGAGGACAGGCAGGAGGAGTTCCAGTGTTTTGCTGCTGCTTTGCCTCATCTCGTGTCCACGCTGATCGCCCTTGAGGGAGACGTGGATGCACCAAACATCCCGAATCCTCGATCGTACGCTGAGGCGATCGAGGGTCCCTACTCCTCTCAGTGGCAGTCAGCCATGGACACAGAGATGGCTTCTTGGAATTCCACAGGCACCTACGTCGACGAGGTTCCCCCACCTGGGGCGAACATCGTCAGTGGCATGTGGATTTTCAGGGTGAAGCGGCCGCCGGGTTCTCCGCTTGTCTTCAAGGTGCGTTACGTGGCTCGCGGCTTTAGTTAGCGGCAGGGAGTTGACTACTTACAGACCTTCTCTCCCACCCAGAAGATGACCACTCTTCGGGTGCTGCTACACATAGCCGCTCAGCGCGACTACGAGCTTCACTCTCTTGACTTCAGCACAACTTTCCTGCAGGGCAACCTGCACGAGGAGATCTGGCTGCGCTGCCCACCTGGCTTCACTGGGTCGTTTCCCCTTGGTACCCAGTGGAGCCTCCGGCGACCAGTCTACGGTCTCCGCGAGGCGCCCCGTGAGTGGCACGACACACTGAGGACTACACTTGCGGCTCTTGGGTTTGCTCCTTCTACAGCCGACCCGTCGCTGTTTCTGTGCACCGACACCTCTTTGCCGCCGCTCTACATCCTCGTGTACGTCGACGACTTGGTGTTTGTCATTGCTGACACTGCTGGACTCGCCCACGTGAAGTCCGAGCTGCAGAAGAGACACACGTGCACTGACCTGGGTGAACTGCGCAGCTACCTTGGCTTGCAGATCACTCGGGACAGAGCACAGTGCACCATTATCCTGACTCAGTCACACATGGTGCAGCAGGTCCTTCAGCGCTTCGGCTTCACGTACTCCTCGCCTCAGGCCACTCCTCTGTCTACTCGCCACTCGCTCTCAGCTCTGCCTTCGGATGAGTCCGTAGAGCCGAGTGGCCCGTACCCAGAGCTTGTTGGCTGCCTCATGTGCCTGCACACGACCTAACCTTGCATACCCTCTTAGCATCTTGGCACGCTATGTTGCTCCTGGGAGACACCGACCAGAGCACATGGCTGCAGCGAAGAGGGTGTTGCGCTACTTTTGCAGTACGTCGGGCATGGGGCTAGTGCTTGGAGGGCGACGTCGAGTGGTCCTCATAGGTCACGCAGACGCTTCTTGGGCTGACGACCAAGCTACGCAGTGGTCATCACAGGGTTACACCTTCAGCCTTGGCTCGGGCTCTGTTTCGTGGCGGTCTACCCGCTCGTCTTCTGTTCTCACCTCCAGCTGTGAGTCTGAGATCTACGCGGGGGCCATGGCTGCACCGGAACTACGCTGGCTCACCTACCTGCTGACTGGCCTAGGAGAGCCGCCTCGTTCTCCTCCATTTCTGTACGTAGACAACAAGGCCATGCTGGCCTTGTGTCGAGAGCACAGACTGGAGCACAGAACGAAGCACATTGCTCTTCGCTACTTCCTTGCTCGTGAGCTGCAGCAGCGTGGTCAGCTGCGCCTTGCTTACGTGGCCTCTGAGGCCAACACTGCTGATATCTTTACCAAGGCACTTCCGCCTGGTGATCATCAGCGCTTCTGTACGATGCTAGGTCTTGTGCCTACTTGGCCTCACTTGCTCACTTCTTGACCTTGCTTGTACTGTGATCTTTCTATACCTGCACTTGCCTGTTTACCTTTATATATGATCTTGCATGTGAACTGGCCTTGTGGCCCTGCTCTTGTGCTCCGATTGTGTGGTGACGTTGTGATCCACCCTGAGCTTGCTTTGCTTTGCTTGACTGGTCGTGTGACCTCTTGTTCTCCCCCACTTTGCCTATGGGGGTGTGTCAAACTCATATCATATAGCTTGTCTAGGCTATAGTGGGGTAGATACTATGGGGTACAGTTTCCTAGGGTTTCCTACTTGTACCCAACCTTGTGCTAGTTCATCCATTCCTCATTTCTTCACAATCCAATTCAACGACAAGGTCATGTGGATCCTCATACCACACTCCAAGACGGACCAAGTTGGCCATGGAACCTGGACCCTTGGTGTCCAGTGCACTGCACCCAACGCTTTATCCAACTCGCTGGCTACGGCCCGCAATCGGAGGGGCCGGTGATTCGCGTTTTCGGCCATGCATCCGCCAACGAGGGCCAGTAAAGGCCACCATCGTACACGACAATCCGGAACTGGTGTAAATAGGCCTTGACAAAAGTTGGACTCGGAGAACAACAGCTCGGCACGCATTCCTTTTGAAAGGGCACAGCAACCATAGCAGGAAACACCGGCGTGCCAGACAAGATTTTTAAATGGCTGGGCAGGTGGCGAAGCGACGCAGCCAAGGAGATGTACGTCACACCATACGTCGAACCTCTGATCAAAGCCTCTTGCGACCTACAGGATCCAACACATGCATTGCCATTGCAGCAGCATGCAGAGGCACTCACGCGCAACCGAAAGCCCCCGCTCCCCATGTCTCAGAGACCCAAGTTGCAATGAAAACGATGCAAAATTACAAGGAACAGAAAGCAAGCTTTCTTGATCACCTGTATATAAGACCATAGAGTCCTATGATGACTACAGAAAAGAAATGTGGGGGTTCTTAACATATGGTATCAAGTTTATAATACCCCGGTATTAAAAAAACAATACAACATTGACGACGCGAAGCTTACGTGATTTCTTTGAAAGAAAGAAAATGCTGCGATTTTATTCTAAAACTACACATTCTCTATATTGATGGGGGCCTTATAATATTGTCAATCAAAAAGAGGGGTATCAACCAAATATCAAACTCATATGCTATAGTCTGTGTAGGCTGTAGTAGGGTAGACAATATGGGGTACAACACTTCTAGGTTTTCCTACTTGTACCCACCTGCTTGCTAGTTCATTCATTCCTCAATTCTCTCACCAAATATACACAAATATATGACACACATCCATATTATGGACCCAGGGGTTCACTAATGCGGCGGATCTTATATCCAGGTGATTACGGTAACAAAGCCATGATCGTCCTATGTCAGGAGCCTAGTATGGAAAAGAGAGTGAAGCACATCCAGCTACGGTACTTTATGCTGAGTGAGTTGCAGTAGCGCGGTCACGCACACATGTCACACTTTGCCTCAAGGGCCTACACTGCTGATATTTTTACCAAGGTTGACATAAAAACCCTGTCAATTTGTAACTCATTATTTATGTAAATACACATTGACTGGTCTTGTAACCATTTGTCTCTAAGGCTGGGTTTTTACCGGTACCGTCATCGCCCGGATAGAAGACATATGTGTCTTAACTCATATAGGATTGAAAATGGCCACTGTATCTTGTAAACAGAACCAAATGGGTGTCTTATAAATCTTATAAACGGAATAGTTACTTTTTGTATTATCGCACATACCGGAACATGTAATATAGAATGCTTTTTTGTTTGGCGGGATCAAGGACCCAACAGGGGACCGTTTCCTTGTCCTCATCCAATGTTTGGCGTATGTGCACATACTTGGCAGCATTTTACAGCCTCTAAATTACCTTGCAAGGTGGGCTGCATCAGGTGTGGCAGCGTGGATGCCTCTGTTGCAAGGACACCCCCTCCTCTGCGGAACCATTCTTCTACGGGTGTCGCCCTTACGTGAGGGGGTCCAGGGTCTACCTCATCAGTGTGCTCATTTTACTATTCGAATCCCTTCTCTCCTCATGTTTCCCAACTTCTCTCGTCGCCATGCGTAGCAAACAGCCTGGTGCGCCTGCTCTGTACATTGCGAACAGCAGGCGTATCAATTCGGCGGGCGACGATGTCACCATCGTCGTTGGAGGCAGCACGGCAAAGCCCACTGGGCGCAAACAACCCGCCGTCAAAAGCACGGTCGCGAGCTGCAAGGAGTCGGATGCCACCGGAGTAGAGGATGACGAGGAGGAATGGCCTGAGGACGGGTGTTATGAAGATGACGAAGACACCCATGACGTGGAGGCGGACATCAACGAGGACGAGTGGTGGAACCAGGACTATGCCGGTGAGGAGGTGGAGGAGTGGCACGCGGGTGACAGCTAGGACGAGAACGTCACCAGGGAGGCAACGGCGGCGTCCGACGCCACCGCGGAGATGGACGGTGTTGCTGAGGCGACCGACGCAGACGCCAATGCTGATGTCGCAGCCGCTGCATCTAAGGAGGATTCAGATGAGGATTTGTGGAGCATGGACGATGTCCACCTGTTTCAAAGGCGCGTCAAGTACCACGTTGACAAGGGCACCAAGCCGAGACTCACAGCCGCTGAGAAAGGGAAGGTATCGCTTGGTGAGGGTAGCAGCAAGGGGACCCGTGGCAAGGCGAACGTTAACAAGGAGGGTGGCAAAAAGAATCGTCGCAAGGGGACCTGTGGCAAGGCGAAGGCCGATGAGGGTTGCAGGAAGGATGACGGAGGCGACGGTGAAGCCGAACCAAACTCGGATGATGACTACGCTGAAGTAGCGGGCCCATTACTTACCTACCCGGAGAAGCGAAAGCCCAAGGACCCGCATGACAAGAATCCAAATGCTCGGCCCCCGTCACCTCGCGGCCGCGGCGTCAAACAGACGAGGCGACCCTGGTATGTAAAGGAGAAGGTCAAGTGGGCCTTAAGGTACGGCTAGCTGGATTCACTGAAGAAAACCGCGCTGGAGGCTAGAGCATCTGTGGCTACGATACGGCGCTGGGCCGGGCAGAAGGAGAGCGGCGTATTCAAGGGTGCTGCCAGCAATCGGAAACGCATGCATGGTGTAGGGCGCCACTCTTACCACCCCGATATGGAGGAGGCGATTTATCGCTATATCTGCATCGACCGCGCCAAAGGAGTGGGAGTTTCCGTGAAGGACTTGCAGGAATGGAGTCGCACATGGAAGAAGAAACACTGCCCAAGGACCGCGTGGACCGCATCCTCTCATTGGTGTCAAATTATAATGTTCTGTAGGCTGTAGTGGGGTAGCCTTCATGGGGTACACATTGCTAGGGTTGCATACTTGTATCACTTTCATTCCTTAGTCATTCATTCTCGTTTCAGTATTCTCATGGTATCGAGCAGGTTCCCTCGTGGGAACTGTGCCTAGGGCCCACCAAGTCGAAATTTTTTTCCTGCCCGAAGCGTGCTCTGCCCGAGTCGCGCTCCCTTCTCTGACTTCGTCGAGCCGCCCTAGCGGCCAAGTCGCGCAGCCTTAGCGGCCCCTGATCCATCGCCCTAGCGGCCCCGTCGCCCTACCTGCGCCTCGGCCCCGTCGCCCTACCTGCGCCCCGGCCCCGTCGCCCTACCTGCGCCCCGGCCCCGTCGCCCTACCTGCGACCCCGGCCCCGTCGCCCCCCTCTTGCGACCCTGGCCCCGTCGCCATACTTGCGGCCCCGGCCCTAGCCCCGTCGCCCTACCTGCGCCCCGGCCCCGGCCCCGTCGCCCCGCTTGCGACCCCGGCCCCGTCGCCCCACCTCCAGCCCCGGCCCCGTCGCCCTACCTGCGCCCCGGCCCCGGCCCCGTCGCCCTACCGTCGACCCGGCCCCATCGCCCTACCTACGGCCCGGCCCCGGCCCCGTCGCCCTACCTACGGCCCGGCCCCGTCACCCTACCTTCGACCCGGCCCCGTCGCCCTACCTACGGCTCGGCCCCGGCCCCGTCACCCTACCTACGGCCCGGCCCCGGCCCCGTCGCCCTACCTTCGACCCGGCCCCGTCGCCCTAACTGCGCCCCGGCCCTGGCCCCGTCGCCCTACATGCGCACCGGCCCTGTCGCCCTACCTTCGACCCGGCCCCGTCGCCCTACCTACGGCCCCGCCTGAACCGCCTACGCAGCCGAGCCGCCCGAGCCGCCCGAGCCACCCGAGCCGCCCAAGCCGCCCGAGCCGCCCCAGCCGCCCCAGCCGCCCCAGCCGCCCGAGCCGCCCGAGCCGCCTGAGCAGCTGAGGAGCCGAGCCGCGGGTGCCGCCGAGCCGCAGTTGCTGCCAAGCTGCCCGAGCTGCCCAAACCGCCCAGTCTGGTGAGCGCAGCGCCTCTGTCACTGCACTGCCCCTGCTCTACACTTAGCACTACTAGTCTACTGTTGTCATGGCTACCCCTAGTGTCCTCGCTTTTGACGCCGAGGGTCGAGCCATTGACTTTGACGTCTGGGTAGATGACCTGCAGTTGTTCTTACAGTGCGATAGGGCAGACGGTCTCTCCCTCTTTGACCTCACCTCTGGTGCCTCTCCTGCTCCTGCTGCTGAGGCTGACGCCACTGTTCGCTCATAGTGGGCCACGCGCGATGCTGCTGCACGTCTTGCTGTGCGTCGCCACCTCCCTACCTCTGAGCGTGCGCACTTTAGCCAGTACAAGAGTGCTCAGACCTTGTACGACGCTGTAGTTGCACGCTACTCCTCCCCTGCCACTGCTGCACTGAGCCGCCTCATGCTACCGTACCTCTTCCTAGACCTTGCTGCCTTTCCCACAGTCGCTGACCTCATTACGCACCTCCGCACTAGTGACACTCGCTACTGCGCCGCGCTTCCTGCTGACTTCTGGGCCAAGAAACCCCCATCCCATGTACATCACTCTCTACTACATAGTCACTCGCCTCCCTGACTCCCTTCGTGTAGTCAGGGACCACTTCCTCTCAGTCTGTCCCACCACTCTCACTGTTGACCTCCTCGAGAAGTCCCTCCTAGCGGCCGAGAAGAGCATAGTCGCTGTAGGGGCCTCACGTGGTGACCCGCGCACCCCCATCTTTGAGGGATGTTCCCCCTCCCCCCTTCTGCCCTCTGTTGCCTCTGCTGCTGCAGCCGACCTCCTTGGTCTTGAGTCGGTCGGTGCGGCGTCTGCCTCTAGCGGGAGACGCCGCTCTGGCAGGGGCAAGGGGGGCAGGGGCGCAGGAGGAGCGAGCGGGGGCGGTGGAGGTGGAGGTGGAGGCGGCGGGGGGAGTGGGGGTGGCGGTGGGAGTGGAGGTGGGGGTGGAGATGTCGGTGGCGGCAGTGGAGGCGGAGGCGGCGGCGGCGGTGGCGGTGGGAGCGGAGGTGGCGGAGGTGGTGGCGGTGGAGGAGGCGGCGGAGGCGGCGGTAGTAGCGGAGGCGGCGGAGGCGGCGGAGGCGGCGGGGGTGGCGGTGCAGCTGGTCGCGGGTCTACGCAGAGGAGTGGCACCAGATCCCTGAGGCCACAGAGATCCCTCGCTGGGGCGAGCTGTCTAGGGCGGGAGTTGCCATCTATGATCTTGATTTTGATGCTTTTTTTTCTGCCATGTATGCTGTGTCTATTAGTGATGAGGGTGACTGTTACCGCTGTTTCCCGCCCGACTCGGGCATTGAGACTGCTGCTCTAGGTACTGGTGAGGCTGCTGCTCTAGGTGCCAGTGAGGCTGCTGCTCTAGGTGCCAGTGCGTCTGCGTCCTCAGGTGCTGGTGAGTCTTTGCTCGCAGGTACCGCGTCGACTTCGGCCTCCCTCACATTCACACTTGACTCAGGGGCTTCTCGCTCCTTCTTTCGAGACCGCACCACACTCACGCCGCTTGGTCGGCTGGTTGCAGTCTCCCTAGCAGACCCCTCTGGGGGTCCTGTCCTTTCTCACTTCTCCACTGTCCTCCCGTGTCCGGCGGCCCCCTCTGGCACCTTGTCTGGTCTTTACCTCCCCTCGTTCTCTACGAACTTGGTGAGTGGTGCTGACCTACAGGATGCGGGGGTTCACCAGTTTACTCCTACGAGTCAGCGGGTGACCCACTTCTCGGACGCTCGCACAGGCCGGCACGTGGCCAAGTTTACGCGTCGGCCGGGGTCGAGCCTGTACACCCTGACCACTGAGTCTCCTCCTGTCCCTGCGTCCGATTAGGTAGCTGCGTCGGGTCAGGTGTTTGCTGCAGCGTCCAGGTCTGGTCCTGAGTCTGCCCCCTGCTCGTGTCGCCTCCTGTCTCATGAGACTCTCCTCTGGCACCACCGCCTTGGTCACCCCTCCCTGCCTCGTCTCCGAGGCATAGCCTCTCGTGTCCTTATCTCTGGTCTTCCCCGATCCCTCCCTCCCCTTCCTCCGGGGCCTGGCCCCACATGCGTCCCCTGTGTCGAGGGGCGGCTGCGGGCTGCCCCTCACTCCTCTCAGTTTCCCCCGACAGAGGCCCCGCTGCAGACGCTTCACATGGACGTGTGGGGCCCGGCCCGCGTCCGCTGACAGGGTCACGAGCGCTACTTCCTGCTGGTGGTTGACGACTACTCGCGTTACACCACAGTCTTCCCCTTGCGCAGCAAGGGTGATGTCACTGAGGTGTTGATCGACTGGATCCGCGCAGCTCGTCTCCAGCTCAAGCGGAGCTTCGGCTCGGACTTTCCTGTTCTGCGTCTGCACTCTGACCGAGCCGGAGAGTTCTCCTCTGGCCTTCTACGAGCCTACTATCGTGCGCGAGGCATCCGCCAGAACTTTACGCTTCCGGACTCTCCACAGCAAAATGGGATTGCTGAGTGCCGCGTTGGCATGGTCATGGACGTCGCCCATACGTCCATGATGCATGCGGCTGCCCCCCATTTTCTGTGGCCGTTTGCGGTTCGGTACGCGGCGCATCAGATCAACCTTCACCCCAGGGTCTCCATGCCGGAGACCTTCCCAGCTTTGCTGTGGACGGGGAAGGTAGGCGATGCGCCTGCGTTCCGTGTCTGGGGATCTCGGGCGTTTGTCCGCGACTTGTCTGCGGACAAGCTGTCCCCTCGTGCTACTCCTTGCGTCTTCCTTGGCTTCCCTCCTGACGCGCCAGGGTGGCAGTTGTACCACCCCACCTCTCGTCGTATTCTGTCCTCCCAGGACGGCACGTTTAACGAGTCGGTCCCCTACTACCGCCTCTACCCCTACCGCACTCCGTCCCTCCCCCCGCCACCGCTCTTCCTTGTGCCAGGTCCCCCCCCAGTAGACCCCCTCCCCCCTCAGGGTCCTGCCCCTTCAGGTGTGTCCCAGGTAGACGCAGTCGAGCTTGTCGAGGTTACTGGTGACTCTGGTGCTGCTGAGGGTGCTGAGCCTGGGGGTGCTGACTCTGGGGGTGCTGGGCGTGTGGGTGCTACGTCTGGGGGTGCTGAGCCTGAGGGTGCTACTA